GTCGCGTCAACATCGGATGATCCCTGCTAACCCGGGTGACTCCATGAATTCCGCCCTTGACATAAGCTCCGAAAACCCACAGATTCACAACCTCAGGTTCGCCAATCACTTTGGATTTCCTACGAATGGACATGGGTTTCAAGCGTGCCATTCTCACAGCTTCAAGAATCTCCTGATGTTCCAAGCAATCCTTGCCAAGCAAAGCTTCCGCATAAGCCTCGCTCGTCACCTCCGCGACGCCCTTTGAACCCCGAATAAAATCCCCAGACTCCTCCTGAAACTCTAGAACATCATCCCAGTCTACAATGTGGCTTTCCGGATGTTTTGCCCCAGGTCCTGAGAAGGTTTCTGATGATTCAATGGTGGCTTTGTTTCCGCTACTCTCTTTCAGCTGGCTTCTGTAGTGTTTGGAGAGTGCAATGCGCGCAAGTTTGAAATCCGACCATCGCATGTAAGGCAGACCATTTGCGACAATGCATTCCACCGTCATGATCCTACCATGCTCAAAAGGATGGGGATACTTGATTGTGGCTCCCTTTGGGTCCCAATGAAATGAACCTCCTAAATCAATGATCTTTCTAACACCCACGATCCACTCTCCCCATTCTCTGAGATCATACACACTTCTCCATGCTTGTTCATGGTGGCTTTGCAATGCGACCCTGACGCGAGAGTGACTTGAAGCGGCGTATCGCCCGGCTGGCTCCGAGTCTGAGGGCGAAGAACTTCATTAGCCCCGCTGTCCACAAGAACCATGCTATCACCCTCAACCCGACTAGCGGAAACACAACACATGTTCGCAAAGCCCTGGCGCCTTCTACGGATCATACGATGGAACCTCTGCTGTACTTCCGCATCATACTCTTCATCACTCACCGGATCTCCCGCCTGCCATGACGCATAAAGAGAAAATGCTAGTTCCTCAATCCGGTCTTCATTTCCAGGAACACCTCGAACTCCAGTGGGAGTGTGAACTTCATACATGACACCTCCATGCTGAAACAAGTCTTCAGCCTCCTGCCGTGGAATCCCATTGTCAATCAAGTCTTGAGGGCCCAGAACTGCAAGGTCATCCGCATACTCAGCTCCTAGCAATCCCAGGGTCTCCGCTAAGTGGCCAAACCCGTGTCCAATCAACATGGTTTCGAGTGGAATCCGATCCTGGACATGAACATTGGAAGCGCCAAAACCGAACCGCAAACATTCACTTACCCATGCATCCTCAGTCCACGGTTCTACATACGGTCGATTTCTGTCCACCGCTACAACAAAGCGAAGCTTCGACTGATCATCTCCCCGCTCAAGTTCAAAGGCTTCCGCCCTCTTGAACACTCTCGTGACGGGATCTAAGACATACACAGGGTGCACAGCGTTCACCGTCCATTCCTCGTTCAAGACAGCTGGCAGCTCATCTAGCATACCCGTCCGATGTAATTGCCATACTCCCTGTTCAAGCCTCTGATAATTCTCAAGATGTTCGAACTCCGCGTGGGCCTTGATGACAATGTTTCCCGGGCTAGTCCACATTCTCCATTCTAAACCAGTCAACCGTAGACTCCAAACCCAGCCCACTTCATCATCACTCTCCTCCTGAAGCTCATCACCGAACTCGCTTGGAGTAAGATCATCACTCCCAACGCCGTCGATCTCGGAAAGTTCCGAAGGAGAATTGTGATCATCTGAGTTTGATTCGGATTCGCACATGGCCATGCTCGCCTGCACACGAATGGTCATTGCAGATTTCGCCTCGGCGCCGACAAGAGCTGCAGCCTTCGCCTTTGCATCCGGTTTTGCCTTGGCCTTAGCCTCAGCTTCCTTAGCTGCTGCTTTTGCCTTTGCATCAGGTTTTGCTTTAGCCTTAGCCTTAGCTTCATCTCCCTTTGCTCCTTTGTCCTTTCCTTTCCCCTTAGCCCTTGCTCCCTTAGGCGCGGCATGCATGTACTCACAATCCTTTCCCTTCAAGCATCCCCGCTCCGTGTTGAAGAAGGCACAAGGAATAAACTTGGTGTCACCTGATGCATTCCCCTTTTTGCCCTTGTTCTTGCCTTTGCCCTTGGCCGCTGTAATCTCGTACTCACCATGACCAGCCTCATATCCCTTGGATTGACCAGGTTTGGAAAACTCCTCAGCAGCAAGGCGCCTCGCCTCTGATTCAATCGCCGTCAACAAGAGACTCACACCCTCTTCCGTAGGATTCAATATCTCCGGGCGAAGCCGTAACAAGTTCAAGCGAGTACTCAGAGTAATATTCTTCTTCTCCAAGGCTTTGACAAGGCTATTCAAGGATGCAATCGCTTCATGAGGAGGGTGGCTAGGTAGTCCTAGAGCTGATGTTCGCGAGTTTGCCAACTTGAACCTACGCAGCGTTGCCAAACACTCTGTGAAGGATGATGCATGAGGCAGATTCCGCAAAAAGCTCGTCAAGGATGCCTTCTCTTCCACTCCTCCAGGTTGGAATCGCTCAAGGATGGCCTCAAGGATAGCCAGTGATGGAACAACCTGACCCGCTGCCGATTCAATGACTCCACGCTTGATCTCATCCGTAGTTTGCGATAAAAGAGTCATGGAGAGTCGAGATTCAAACTCGTCACATCCAGCAGGTGTTGTAGGTATCAAATCCCAGTCACTGATTCCTCTATCCATTCTTGTTTTAAACCGTTCCAATGCGCGGTCGATCTGAAACCTCACGAAGCGAGCGAAACCTGATCCCACACAACTCGCGACTGAGACCATCTCAGTGGCATATTGGGCAAACTGCAGCCCCTTTTCCCACGCTTGGCCTCTCGGTTCATCGATCTTTGGAAACTCCTTGAGAAGCTTCCACTGACCGCCTTGGACACGCAGATCTTTGGACTCCAATTGCAAGGCATGACCTGCAGCTGAAGATGTCTCCGATTTCACAAGTTCACGAGGTAGGGCAGGAGGTGGAGCACTTGGTGCCCATGAACCGTTAACCAGCCCAGGTGGGTCCCTATACCAGTCTTGTATTGGCTTCTCGTCATAGGCATCCCACCACTGATCTCTATCAGCATCCGTTTGATCCTGGAGTGGCGTCCCACTCGTCATGTTGAATGTTTGGACCCCGCTAGGCCCCTTATCTTGCACCTCATGCGCCTGCGTGGGTACTACAGGATCTGGCTTTGGCTCGCGGCTCAAGATATGACTCAGGTGACCTTGGATCTCCTCATCTCTCGCACGCAGCTGTTTGCAAATCCGCTCAGTTTCCACAACTCGCGCCATGACCGATGCAAGCTCCTTTGATCGTCCACTCTCCTCCTCAAGGGGTCTGGACTCGAGCTTCTGAACGACCTCCTGTAGGTCAAGAATCCTCAACCAAAGCTTGTCCGATTCAAGTTTATTGTGCTTCAATAAGGTTTCCCGCTCAGCTTCGCCACTAGCTAAACCCCGGGACTCCAAACCAAGCACATGCTCGTTCAGCTCGGTCAATCGCTGGCTCATCGCCTCATGGAGAAACACTTGTCCTTCAATGCCATCGACTCTTTGGGCAAGGTGTTTCATGCTCTCTGTCAACTCAGCCACTCGCTGATTCAAGGATCCGTACGCTTGGCTACTCTGCACTGCGGCCTCCCGTAACTGGTCAACTCCAGCTACAACCGTAGTTAAACCTGTCGCAAGCAAGTTCGTCCGGCGCTCCGTCTCTAGGCGTAGCCCTTCGAGATTCTGGTGCACCTGTTCAATGTCGGTTATGGCTACCATGTTCCATTGAGTCCCCTCAAGTTGCCTCATCAATTGAATCACGTCGCCGTTCGCTGTCCTGATCTCGTGCATTTGCCGGACCAAGAAATCTGCTCCTGACATTAAAACATCAGTCATGTCTCCTCTGTCCTGGCCAGAAACAAAGGTGTCTTGCTGATGCTGTGCTGCTGCGACAAGTGTTGCGGAGTGATGGCTTGGAGCGCTTGGGCTCCTAACCTCTTGGTTAGGGCTTCCGTCTGATATTCTGCTGAAGTGAGTTGGAGTCGGAGAAGGGAGACATCGAGGAACATCATTAAAATCCCCCGCCATCGGAGATGCCTTTCACCTCAATCCTCACTCACCTCCTAGCCCTGAATCCCTGAACGAACTAATCCCTCCCTGAAACCCTGAAGACGGGCTCGGGTCTCGGTTATCAGGAAGAGGAAGGACGAGGATACCAGGAAGGGACCCCAATCCCAAACCCGGAATAACCCCAACCCCCATGATCCGCTCAGAGAATTTGTTGCATCTTGAGCCACAGTCAGTGGCATAGTTTATGGTTAAGCCAAGCTCTCTTCGAAGCTTGTGCGTGTCACCTTGCGCAGGGGCCGATGCATGTCACAAGCAACATGTCTCTTTTGCTACAGGCGCACAGCTGTAGTCCACTGCACTAGAACCTTGAGCAACAGGCATGGATACATGCAAGTGATACGTGAAACAGACAGGCACCTGGATGTGTAACATTCAGTGTTTCACCCCTCCCCCCCCCTCCCCCCCCTCCCCCCCCTCCCCCCCTTTTTCTTCCCTCTTTCCTGCTCCCACTTCTTCTCCCCGCCCTCGTTTCGTCTTCCTCGCCCCCGCTTTGGCTTTTGCGTCGTCAATCCACTGCCTGTCTTTCTTTTCAGGCTCTTTCTGTGTTGTTTTTTCTTGCTCCGGGCGGCATGGCTGGAAGGCCTTAACTGGTTTGCAGGAAAACAAAGACATAAAAAAACATCGACTGCCCCCTCGCCCTGCCGCCACACAGCCGAGGCGGGCGGCGTAGCGTTAAAATTAATTTGGCACCGGTGCTTAGCCTTCCCTTCCCAGTTGGATTTGTGACTGAATCTGGATTCTCGGTTGATCATCCTGAGCGTTTGGGGTGTTGCCGGGTCTTGGGAGTTCGGAGTTGGTCACTCACCTTAGGGTTCAAGCCTTTGATATGTCAAGCAAGCCTTTCGCATTTACTGGTTTACGGAGTCTACGCAGGCACGGAGGTTTCTTGTGTGTAGCACCGGCACGGCGGTCTGCGGGGAGCGGCTGCTTGCCTGGCTCATGGTCCGGGCGAAATCGTTACCGCCAGCAGAGGCAGAGATGGCGTCGCTCCTCCAAAAGACAGCGCAGGGCACACCAGCACACCAAGCACACCAAAAGCCCAAGCCACAGTCCAGAGGGCGTCCATGGCAGACATCTCCTGCTCATAAGGAAAGCCTACCCCGTAAGGATCAGACAAAGTTCAGTGTGCTCTCTCCTGGATCTGATCCTCTGCAGCCCTTGCCTGAGCAGCTCCCAAGCGCAGCAGTTCCTGCCACAAGCCGCAAGCAAGCATCAGCAAAGCAAGCCAGCGCCCAGCTTCGGGCACAGAAGCAAGCTTGAAAGCGGCCCGCAAGTGACCCCAGTGATCCGATCCTCGGTCACGACCCGATGGCTCACTTGCCTCAGCGAGGAAAACAAGAGAACCACCACAGTTCAAGAGATCTCTGTCTCGTAGCCAGGAAGCTCCATCTTCGACTCCAAGTCCTCCAGCTCAGCTTCAGCCTCCCGGCTGAGTCGATTCAGCACTAGGTCTGCAGCCTTGTTCAGCACCACGCCCAGCGGAGGAGGCAGCGGGGCCAGCGTGGCCACAGCCTTGACGGTGTAGAGCGAAAACTTCATCAGGGATTCCGCTGACAGCCTTGCTTCCAGCACTTCCTGCAATCCTCCTAACAGGGACTCCGCCGTCTCCTTGCAACCTTCGATCTCCTTGCTGCTGGCCCCGCAGAGCCATTCGGCCACAACAGCATCATTCATCCTTTCAGAGAGCTTGGCGACCAGACCCTGGGCTTCTGCCTGCGCACACACTTCCCGCAGCTTGCTTTTCAGGTCTATCCGGCCTGGCTCAACCTCGAGCTCAGTGCACTTCTGCAGAGTTGCATTAAAAAGGTAGGAGGCTAAGTCAGACGCTTGTTCAGCATCTTCGGACTCGCTGTCTCCATCCTCTCCGTCGTCCGCGTCATCCTCTCCTGCTTGGGTAATCCTGATAGCTGCGAGCGTCTTTTTGGCACTGGTGATGGCGTCCTTTAGCCGCAGCCCGGAGCTGGTGAAGCGTGCGGAACTCAGCTCTGACTGAGCCCGCACGCCCGCGGCACCCCGCAAAAGACCCAGCACAAGACAACACGAAATCGCCGGGAACATCACGCAGGCTGTTGTGTGTTTAACAAACCTAGCAGCTTTCACCTTTCTTTCACCTTTCTTTGAGAGTGGCTGAGGCTCTGTATTGGAATTGAGCCCTTCATGCTCTTAGCACGAAGAAGCCTTCTTTCGATGGTGACCCTAGCCGCCACATAAGCTCGGATGGAAGTCAGAAGGTTGTGTCAGCTCGGCAAACAGCAAGGCCTTCAGAATGCAACATGCTACACAAAAGGACCAAGAGCTGAGATCGGAGCTTCCTTTGTTCGGCGTTGCTTTGTCAAGCCCTCGCGCTCACAGCGCGACTGCCGTTCTCGGAGACCAGGTGGAACAGCTTCGCCAGACAGCTGCAGAGCCTCCCACGTAAGAGTCTCTCTGCATTGCATACGGGTCATATGGGTTAACAACGCCACTAAACAGTATTGTTTTGCGCGCAGGTCGGATGCAGCATTCCTTATCAGGATGCAAAGAGCCTGAAGCATGAATCCATCAAGAACCTTTGAGATTTGGTTGCAGCTGTGTGACTGCACCTGTACAGCATGCTTGCGCACGATCAATTCAGCGCCAGTCGGGGAGGACAAGGCTTGGGTGCATCTACAAGCAAATTGAACACTGCCGCGTGGGACCCGCAATTGTCTTTCTTCTTTGCAACATCTGCCGCAGTCCTACCAGATGAATTACGCAGCGACACGTCCGCACCCTCGGCCAGCAGCAAGGTGGTCGTCGCTACATCTGCCAGCTCTGCAGCCTTGTGGAGAGCAAAGGTCTTGCGAAAGCATCCTCGCTTGGGAACGTTGATTCCCGAGAAACCATGCTTCTTCAAGAAAACAGCGACGCTCTGGAGGCGTGCGTGGTTCATGGTCTCCTGCCTCCTTTCTTCCTCACCTTCCTCATCCGCACGCGCACGCTGCCACACTTGGTGCAATTCATGACATGGCTCATGTGATTTCTGCTTGGCCGGGAGAGGTTCCTCATTAAAGGTCGGGCCGCCTGCTCCATCGGGTATCGCGGGTGGCACAGCTTCCGCGGGCACACTACGGGTTGCACACGTTCCGCGACGGAGCAGTTCTGCCAAGTCGACCTGCACAGTGCCTTCTGGCTGCCGCTCTTCACAGACACATCCACAGCGTGGGTCACAAAGCATGCGCGGGGATCACAGGCCTCGAGAGGGCTAAGGGCGAGCTGCATAGCATGACTATGAAGGAGCCACAAACGTCGAAGCACTTGGCACACTTCATTTGACAACTGAGCTAACAGACCACACATCTCCGACTGCCCTGCCTCTTCGATGGCCTGATCTTCAAACGACACACTTAAGGCACTAGCGACCTTCTGCAGAATGTCATACAATGTCATACATGTCAAAATTACTGGAGAAAGAAACCTCCGTGACCCGAACCAACAAAACAAGGAACAGCCCTAAAGCTTGCCTGTTCGCTTTACTCAGCAACTCACAGAGGATACCGCATGTTAGACCGATTGGCTTTCGAATGTAGATTCGGCAAAGAGAAATGTAGCGGTCACACAGTCTCGTCGTCCGGTGCTTTTTTCGTGGTCACAACGTCACCCGCTTTTCCGAATTTTGAGAGTGCGATCCAAGGACTGTGCATCTTGGGAAGACTAGCTGACGCAGTCAGGCGTGACTTTCTCATGCTTTCTTACCATACACCGTGCCGTTTCAATCTGAATTCAATCAAAGTGCATCACACACAAGTTTCAGTTAAACATGAAAAAAACCATATGCAGCCGAATACTGCATTTCACCGATTGTGGTTGGCATCAGTAGTAAAGGCAGCATAACATCATGACATCGCCATGGCCGACACCGGCCACAGCCAGCTAGGGCCTTTGACATGGGCAGCGCAAAGTGCGATGCTTGGAATGCCACACGACCGCTGCATCAGGTTGGGTGGCAAACCACAACCTGTTAAGGGTGACGATTACAGTGGTTTCAATCAAGATCTTCGTTTTATCAGATTTTATCACAGGTAGAGCTGGACGACATTCCCAGGCGTAGGCTGGAAGGTGTGCTTGAACCTCCTGTAGGCTAATGCACATTCTGTCAGAAAAGCCTATCAGAAAAGCAGCGGGACCAGAGTGACGCTTGAGGAGGGGACTTGGTACTCGGGCTCCAGGATCCGCTTAAGGCGCCGAACTGCCGATGCATTGTGGCCTCTTCCGTCTCTTCCGTTCTGCTCTGCGCAAGTTCTGTCTGCATTGCACTCCGAGGCACAGAGGTCTGTGCGGTGGCCGGGAAGTGCATTCCTGGACTTCGACACCGCAGGTTGGCGTTCAGCATGGAAGGCATGCAAAGACATCATCAGCAATTACCCAGCTACTGCACCCTGCCCGGGGTCTTTCTCGGGAACTGCGCCTGCAGCTAGCAGCTAGCAGCTCACACAAAACTGCGGTGTCAAGAGCTCACGGCCTGAGAAGGAAAGGGAGATGCCCCCAAAAAGCTTGCGATGCGATTCCAGGTCTCCCTGGCACTGCTTCGAAGCGAGTCCTGCAGAGCACCGCAGCACCGATCTCAAAAGCTCCCTGAGAGCATTCTTAGTCTTGCGTCCTGGTGAATCATCAAGACTCGGTCTCGGAAGAGTTTCCGAATACCTGCCCAGCGAGGAGCTGACCAGGCAAGTTTCTGGCAGGCTGCATGCGGGCCTGGGAGGGACGGGCCGAAACGATGGCGCTCTAGAAGCGGGTGCTGCGCGCCGTTCCTTGCGTTTGCACAGGGCCACTGGCCACGAAACAGCGAAGCATGCATCATGCGCGTGCGCTGCCACTTGCACAACACCAGGGCTGATCCGATGTTTCGGACTCGTGACTCCTCAAAGCCCTGGCAGCCCCCGCCTCTGCAAATCATGTCGGTGCTTTTGGCGGGAACCATCAAGCCTGTTGCCTCCCGCACCTCCCCTTCCTCCCTGCTCTGCAAGCTCTTCATTTCGGGCAGCGGGCCTGCTGCGGTACCGAAACCTTTCGAGCCGAAAGAGTTTGCCTCCTATCTCGGATTGAGGCAAATCCAGGCACTGAGCGCACCGGTTGTTCAGAATCCGACACGCATGCTTCGCCCGAACGCAAAGGCAAATCATCCTGTTCTTTCCTGCGCCGCATCCTCGTGGGAGAGCTTCTAAAGAATCCGGCAGTGACCCGGCTCCAAGGGCGGAAAGCCCATCTGTCACCGACGTTGCTCTCTTACAGCCGAGGGGCGGATTGCTTTGGAGCTTTTGCCTGTGCTCCTCGGACTCAAATCCGCCATGTGGGTCATCCAATGCCGCTGCCACGCTGGTCCAACAGCGCGGTGGAGTCGATGGCGATGGCACCTGTTGCCAGATTCAAGTTGTAGCTGTTTCTCCTGACATGCCCTCCAAGATGCGGCTACATGCCGAGATTTGTCAAGAAGGCAATGGCCCTGATTGTCGCTGAAGCGTAGCTATGGATTTGTCTGTTCCGCAGGGATGGAATTGCAGCTTCTCGTCTATCGCTCCCGGAGTTGCAAGCACAAGGCAGTATGGCAGCCACGACCGACTTTTGTAGCTTCTTCCCGAATCCTTTCTACAGAGGCGACGTGCGTCTAATACCGGCCTACAACAGCACGATGGCGAATGTGGGGAAGATAGCTGCAGATTGCAGCTCCAAGTGTAAAAAAAGAAGAAATTTGACCACAAGACTCACGTTGCACTTGTTGTCCAGTTCTGGGTCTCAAGGGCTGAGAGATGGCCTTGACCATGCCTACTCAGATGCTTGCAGAAGGTGAACCATCCCTGAAACGAAGCTGCCGGACGAGAGCACCAGAGATCCATCACCAAACAGCTTCAGGAGACGGACTTCTTCAGTGGGGCCGAATGCCGGTTCTGCACACGTCGTTAGTTGAGAGAGCATCCAAGTGCTCGAAACATGCTCTGAGCTTTGATGGACAGCGCCCCTCTGCCTCGTGTCTCACTCGACAAGGCTGGAGAGTGTCCACCTGGGAGCCGGCCGGCTGACAGCGCCTCCGCCGACCCTCCGCGCCTCGAGTCTTGCCGAGTGCGAAGCCAAGAAGAATCGCTCCAGGCGGCCTCGCACAGGCTGGGCGCGGCAGAAGGCGTGGCATCGCGCGCGGGTGCTGGCTGACGGGCTGGGCGCCCGGGCCCATCGGTTCGCAGAGGATGAGAATCATCCGAAGATCTGGGACTCCTTAGACGAGAAACCCCACCAAGATCGGAGCCGGAGCTCTTGACATTCTCACACCGAGGAGCTTCGAAGCCCGTGCCTGCAAGCAGATCCCAACAATCCCCCCAACGCAACGACAGCCCACTTTCAGCCGAGAGTGCAACAGGCTCCGTCTCGTGAAGATTCCGGAATGGCGTGAACCCAACAGTCCTGACATGATCAAAGCTGCTGCGCAGTTGACCTTTGTGCATCGGCCCTGTCCGTTTCAATGCAGCTTCCTCCCGTTTTCAGACCTCCCTCCTAACCTACACCGGCGGAGAGTCGAAAGTCAAAGGTCCAATTACACTAGTGCAACCCAGCCAAGTATCGTGCACGTGCATGCTCAGCTCGCCGCATGTGGCAGACCTCAAAGCAACTGCCAAAAGCTCGTGGCGCGGCATGTCGCGGCACGTGGCTCAAACATGATGTGTGGTTCGTGCCTCCAGCTCCTGCCGACTAGGAAGACTCCGGTGAAACAGAAGCAAAGAGTCCTTCTTACAGGAGTGGCAATACACGCATCGCTCAAGCGACTTCGCATGGCTTCGCTCTCTTTGATCAAAGTCCTCCCCGAAGGGCTTCAGGAAGGCGATCTCTGGGTGCTGGCCCAGATTGTGGTGCAGGGAACTGGTGCCACAGCGGTCGATGCCCGCGATCTGAGCTCGGCGGGGTGCTCCGCTCAAGTGTTAGTATCTTCGTAGCCGAGGCACCGTCCACAAAGTCGAGCGGGAGCTCCTCCGCCGGTGACGGGGGCCGACTACAATTGGCCCTGAACTGTCTCGAGCACTCCTGCCAAAGGACAAGCTCGCGAGTCTTGAGCACCGCATCGGATGGCGCCTTGGCGCTCCCACTTGCTGCCTACCGGTGCAGAAACACAGAAAGAACCATTCTGACTGAGCCGAGGGTCACCCAGCCAGATGGTCGTGGTGTTCAATCCCAGCATGTGCCCGACAAATCGAGGCACCTCACCGAGTGCAGCGAAGTGTTACCACGGCGCCGGCAGAGCTTTCTTTCGGCGGGGCCCCAGGCCACTTCCGACTGCAAGGCTTGAAGCGAGCAAGACGCCGGTGCGCAGAGGCCGAAGGGCATCAGTCGGCCCTCGGAGCGCTCGACTCGGAGAGCCGCTCGGAAAAAACTTTTCTCTCTCGGACTTCTTCGGGCCAAGAAGCGAGGGCCTCTCCCTCCTTTCCAGACCCGTAAGTCCAGGTCCAGTTCACAGACGACAGGTACTCGTGCAACTTTAGCCTGACAGAGTAATCATACCTGCAATCCTCGCGACGTCTGACGTGCCAGGAGGCTCGATGTCCCAATAGCGGCCTCCACCTTGCAGACACGACGCACTCAGAGGAAAGTGCACGGACACTAGACCAAGGACCAAGGCCTCGGAGGGACCGGCATCGCAGCAGCTGCGCTTCGGCTGCATCTAGAACCAACCCATGCACCTCCAGAGACGTGGCCTTAGATGTGCTCTGCGCAGTCTTCTCCGGCGAGCCATGGCTCGCCCGACTCGGCATGCAGCCAGGCAGCTAGGTCGTTTCGCATGTGTGCCCCACTCTCACGAAGAAAATCCCTGAAGGCAGCACCTGGGATCTTTAGTTCAGGTTCACGCAACCGCGCAGACGCCGCGCAGACTGCATCGCATGCGGAAGACTTGCAACTGCGGCTCCATACTCCGTCGAGCACTGACGCCTCCGGAAGGGAGCATAAATCAGAAGGTACAACCTACCATCTACGGGGTGCAACACCTCAGAGCTTCTTCTGCCAGGACGGAAGAGACGAAGATCAGGAAGAGTACAGAGCGGCACTGCACACGCGCGCCAGGAAGCATGGGAAGCGCATTGTCTCAAGCAGATAGAACGCATAACTGCATAAGGCGAGTGAAATTCTGCGAGCACATGTAAAGGATGCTTTGACAGCGATAGCCAAGGAGAATAACCACAAATCTCGCGAGAATGCAAGGTCATCACAAGTCCTGAACTGGACTGGACTGGAGCAGTAACGTCTAGGGGCCAAGCTCGAAGGCAACACGAACATGCGAACTCACAAGCTTGTCGCAGTCAGTGGATCCAAGCCTGCATTCCAATCGTATTCAGACGAGTAGGCACACCAGTTCGCAAAACCTTTCCTCTGTCCGCAAGGCTGTACACATGCACTAGCAGCAAGGCTTTCCACACGAGACACCAAGCTCCATGCTAGCCAGTAGGAGACGACATGAAACACCTTCTGAGCCGTGCTGCCGTCTTGTGACAAGGAAGAGCGGCCGTCAAACAAAGAGCTGCTAGCAGCTACAGAGCAAATTGGCACACTGCTAACACCGACTGTGAGTACCCAGGGTTCGCTTTAACGTTCAGCCGAGTCCGGTCTACGACGGCTGTGCCAAAGGCTGTCACAAGAGCCGCTACTCAGCGAATTGGGAGCCAGGCCTGGGAGCAGAAGACAAAAAAACAACACACAGTCAAAGAGGCTCCGCCAAATTCAGCTCCGCACCAAAAGCCTCACCTGCGGTCACTGTACTTCCAAGCCTTGGCGAAATTCCAATACCGGCATGAACCTTCATGGAAGAGGGAGAAGCAAGGCTTCAGACTGCCCAGGTATCATCACCACGACGAATGACGAGACACCCAACCTAGGTAAACGGACGGGCAGACCGCCAGAACATGCCAGGACCCTCAAGAAGCGCGGCCTGCCGTGGAGTGCATTGCCCAAGAAGGCTTTGCCCTTTGCTCCACGCCATGAGCGCCTACAAAAGGACTTGAGCTGACATTCCGCACAGTCACATGTGCCTTTAAAGTCTCTCACACTAGATCGCGCCTCACCATCCGGCGAGGCAATTCATTTACAGCAGTCAAGGTCATAGCCTCAGCACACGGGTATGCAACCTATAAGGAATACAGTCATGATCAACATCACCGATGAAACTCATCTTGGCTGACAGCTCAACCACATAGAGGCCAATGCCAATGGCGAGAGACCGCGCCCTGCACTGAAACAGGTGGAGCGGCAAAGTCTCATCACAATTATGCACCTGTGGCACTGGTCCCATAGGCTGCCAGCCTGGGACATCAACACACGAAAGAACCGGTGACCCGTCGGGTCACTCTTCATTAAGCACCGTGCTTCGACGAAGGCTGACGAGGGCACCTTGAGAGCTTCAATCGCTGTCTTGGCACCTCTGGCAAGGCCGTCGCCGATTGCTATTACTACGTCATGCGAAGTGCTAGACTCCTAGACGTCACACCGGGCGCTGCACTCCAAATCGCACTGGAGATAGTCGTGGTCCTTCACATGCTCATCGGCTTTCTATGATGCTCAACATCGGACATGTAGTTCTAGACCAACATGCAAGTCCTCTGCCGATGTAGAGCACTCGGATGTCCCACTGCATGTGTAGTCCGAGGACGTCACTGGGTTTCCTACGACGCAATGCTCCGATGATCTCCGACCGCGCGTCCCGGACTGCTTGCCTCGAAAGGGGGCCGGAGGCCCCAAGTCGAACTCCAGCAACAGCCTCACCGCAGCTCGGCCGGACCCCAGGATCCCGGAGATTCGAAGCCAGGATTTAGAGCCCCGAACGCTGCATCGTTCAACAGGGGACACTTCCGCACAGAGATGACCTGCCAAAGCCAAAGAAACAAAAGGCGCAGAACTTCTTGAAGCGACAAGTGCCTGGAATCCGAGTCTGAGCAATGAGCAAGCCAAGCCTTCACCTGCAAAGGACACGTGCAGCACTTCCACAAACGCAACGGAGCGTCCTCAGGCACCCACAGCTAGCATGTTCTGGACTAAGGCCAATGATGATCTTGCAGGTGCTGCAAGCCTGCAACATGCCCATGAACAAAAGACCTAGGCGCTTCAAAACAGCAGAGTCCACACCGGCTTCGATACAGTGAGAACAAACGGCAAATTCTGTCTGCAGGACCGCGAACAATCATGCCTCTGCCAAATCCAGGAGCGTCCGGATGGCGCTCATTGTTGCGTCTGTGGTACCTCCGCCAAGAAATCCTGAATTCGAAACATGAAACCTGAAAAAAACCCAATCCATTCAGGATTCCACTCCATCCCAAGCCCTCCAGGTTCTGAGGGAGGTACAGCAGGACACCGACGACCGGCCTGGTTCCTCACCCTCTGAACAGATGAGATTCGCATAAAGCAAGCTGCTTGCCACATCGCGGAGGCAGTCCTTGGTAACCAATCGGAACCATGGCAAGGCCCGCATGACAGGATGGATGGCTGAGCTCTGGGGCAAAACCAACTCCAGCGCTTACAGAGCCCTGCAAAGTGAAGTGAAAACCACACACACACACACACACACACACACACACACCGTCCATGTGAAAAGAAGAGAGCACGAGAGCACGGACGTGCCTTTTCAAACGACCAAAGCCTCACAGGCGTGGCTCGGAGTCCGAGCCGCTCTGGTAGTCTGAGGTCCCCTCCCCCACGCCTCGGAAACACCAGGTTCATGCTACGACAGCATACATCCAATTGCATGTGCGCTTTATGTTTAGTCACATACTTACTTACCACACTTACATGTACATGCACATGACCTGTACCCGTACATGTGCGAAAGTTAAGCTTGCGTACCATACCAAGATGGCTAGTTGCCCGGTTGGCTAGTCTGTTGATTTCATGTCACTATTTTGTGGTTTCCTGTAAACACACTTGCTGCTTTGGAAATGCTTTTCCTCCTTTACATGTTTCCCGTGCCTGCGCATGCAACTGCGGACAGCTGCATAGCGCAATGCCCACATGCATCTCATGCCACTTTGATTACTTCCATTTTTTTTTCGAAACAAGATTTGTTTGAATACCAGATCTTCTCAGATTCGAATTGCATGTCTATTTGGGGTTTAGGTTTTAGGCCTTGCGGGAGTTTCCGCAGATTGGGGGTACCGTATTTGGGGTCCTTATAATGAGGATCCTACTATTTAAGGTACTAAATATGCTTCATGGGATAATAGCAAACCCTGCGAAAGGTGACTGGGCCTCCAAAACCCGAGTTGTGTGGCAAACCCAAACCCCCTAAAGGAGATGATGGGAGACGATGGGTGGCAAATGCAAACCCCGGAGCCTTAGAAGGACATGGCGGGGTTGGTAGGTGGCCAAAAGGGTGACCACGATGCTTCAACAAGATATGCTACACTGGTAATCCGTTGAAAAGGGCAGCCTCAAGTCCACCTTACCCGCTCATTGTACAGGGAGGGAATGATGGGTCTTGGAGGGAATGATGGGTCTTGAGACTCGAATCCTGCTTGTGAGGGTCCCTGTACACACCAAGAGGATTGCGCCGGCGCGTATGGCGGACGACAATAAATCTAAACCCCCGAAGCGCGTAAGTAATATGGGAATCCCGAAAGCCAAAGATTCCAAACGAGATCATCCATAGCAAACGTCAAACCCGTCAAGCGGTGACTAGGTCCGGGCGTGCATGCAAATGCACATATTTTGCTATACACGAACGCATGCATGTAGCTTGGTTAGATGGATATATGGATAGTTGGATAGCGAGAGATAGATAGATAGATACGTAGATATAGGTAGAGAAACATATGTATGAGAATGTAGGTTCTTATACATACCAGACTACGCACAGATGGCTTACTTTCAACATAGAGGTATGAAGAACCAATCAAAAAAAGCTTAACTCGACTTCACAATCTTTGATCAACTACCCCCAAAATCTGGAAACGTTATACGACATAATCAACCCTCGTTGAATCGGCATGGAAACGCTTACAGAAAAACGCCTCCAATGGGCCCCATTAATTCAGTTTTTTAATATTTATGTCTATGTCATCTTCTATATCTATACAATCGTTCTTTTGTATGCAAAAGAATACTAGAAGACAATTGGCCCGAAAGCATCATCAGCGAAGAGTGTTGTGCTACGTTATAAAATCCAGTGTATAGGATCATAGAGTCACCCGAGTCAAAAGCACAGAGTCACAGAGTCGGAGTGTCACATACAGTCAAGAGTCGTACAAGTCATAGTTCATAGAGTCATAGAGGCAATGTCAAGTACAAGTCATAGTTCAAAGAGTCATAGTCATAGAGTCACAGTGAGATAGAATCATACAGTCATAGTGTCATAGTGTCATAGAGTCCAAGGGATCTGATTGAATCCGGTGCTATGGTGAAGAGTAAGGCGGAAGACATTGTGCGAAACATGGACTCGTCGGTGCCGCCGTTTGGAGTACATCAAAGCACTGGCCGTGTTGTCCGCTTGCCACCAGGACGATATGAACAGAACAGTAACTGGTTCCAACCAAAAATCAGTCATATTCTCTGGTGCTCTTGCTCACCAGAAAGAGTCGAGTGGCTATTTAACAACATTCGATGGCGACATGAAATGAGCCCGGTCCGGATTTGGCAAGTGTAGTGGCATAGCAGATGCAGTCTTCATTATATGTACAGCAATGCAGCAACATTATTGTAGTTTCCGGCTTGCTGCCAGGACGATCGGACCTGGTGCTACTTCCTTCCGGGACGAGCTCCAACGAGCCCTTACATGCTGAGATTAAGACTTGGTTTGCTCAGACGCAGCAAATGCATCAAAGCACGTTAATACTGAAATTGCGGGTGCTCAAATATGCGAAGCAAGTATCGCATTTTATTGCGCGCAAGCATCCAACTTTGAGTCAGATGTCAAGCCAGCTGCTTCTTGTGCGGCTTGTAACTTTTTCCATATGGAGAGATGTAACATGGACTGCTTGGTGTAAAACCACTGTCGAAAATGACATGGTTGCCAAAGCAAAGGTTCCTCTCCATGAAGCTAGAGTGGAGGAAGCTGCGAAAGTCAGCGCATGGCTCAAGAAGCGGCATGCTGCGAACACAGCCTGCGAAGGCAGGGAGGCTAAAACACGGATAGTCTGAGCAAGTGTAACATCTATGTCCTATGAATATCCAGCTTGCATGATCGGCTGTTCTCCAAGAGACATGGACCGGATATTTTCGTGACCTAGGCGGACTAGCAGACCGACTGCAGAGAGTCAAAGGATGCGCTCTCGTGTTCTCGTCATGATACCCATTGCTTAGATTGTGGACACCCGCTTCCTGACATGGCAGGCATGGTCGAAATCTTGACACAGCCACTTGACTCAGATTAAAGGAGCTCCAATTGTCCAAAACCATATGAGGGCTTCTGATGCTGCCGTATATATACGCGGCATCGATTCGCAGACTCGTGACTCCGCGTGACAGTTCTGCTTTGCTGTTGCTGTGCCGACCTTCTGGTGCTCCCACTGATGTGTGTGTGTGTGTGTGTGTGTGAAAATCCTGTTTCTCAGGATGTTGAAATTCGTTGGGAAGACAGTGCTATTACTGCTTAGCCAGTTCTTTCATCAGAAAGCAGGGGGGCACAGGCTTGTCTTGGTTACCTATGCCAACGAAACTATTCCAAGACCATGGATGGGTGGTCTGATCAACCAGTTGTACCTGCGAATGTGGCCAGCCCAAAATACCCCATTAAAAACATGCTCTTGCTTCATGATCGGCCAAGAAAACATACAACCAAGTATGAAGATCAGTCTTCAAGATAACAAGAAGGATGAAGACAAGGAGAACAGAGACAACCGGCATGGACCGGACATCTATGTGTGTGTCCTGTGCGTGTGCAGATCTTTGATGCCTGCAGATTCGGCCATGGCCTCTCTGTATAAGAACTTGGTTTTGCAAAGGTGTAGCGAAACAGACGTCCTTCAAGCCTGCGAAAAACCAGAGCGAGTGCTTATCAGTCTTGGGGCATGGGCGAGCTCCGTATGCCTCGAAAAATCACTACCGTTTGTTTTCTGACTGAGTACTACGGCAATGGGCCGGGCTGAGATTCAGTCGGTCAACTGGTCAACAGCTTATAGACCAGGTCCGGATGCAATCTCAAAAGGGTTGCTGATAACGAGTTTGTACATGCCTTAGGGTATACGAACATGACACAAACCAACGGGTCATATTATACGTAAGGGACCCCTCCACACATATATAAATATATATATGTATATATACACAGACGTATATGTGGGTGTGAATGTATGTATATACAGTTACGTGGTTATTCACGTGCTTTCTTATTTGGACAGTCGACATGAAAGAAAGAGATACGCAGCCGCTCTTTCAAGCATCGGATCCATGCAGCAAGAAGCTCAGTTTGTGCCGACAGGCCGCACCGAAGCGCATGGGGGAGGGCAAAGACTGCCATCCTCAGGGGCCGTGGGAAGTTGCTGTCAGCTAAGACCAGACATGTGCACCGAATGACGAACACGAGCTGGTCTGGGGTGGCACAAATGGAACAGGCGCTCGGCCTCGTCATCAGCGCCCTCGTCCTTACGAAAGCAACTCCGTAACCCTGGAAGATGAGAGCTGACTGACCTTACACCATTGGGGATGGTAGACAATCTTCAGCTTTCGTGCCCGCAGTGCACCAAGATGTCCTCGCCGCAAACGGCGAAGCCAGCAGCCTGGAGGACCTCGTCGGCCTGCGCAAGTCAAGGAGAGTGTTCGATGCTGGAACCGGGTGAAATGGCGTCGCTGCGTGGTGCACTGCCTCTCCAGCCGCTGTCATAGGGAGTCAACCTGGGGACTGCGTCTGTGCCAATGACTTGCTTTACCTGCTCGGTCTGAGAAAGAGACACATATCTCTCAACCCCCCAGCATTCACCTCGACAAGCCACATGGATTTGGGAAAATAGAAGAACCATGCAATCGGATTCAGTCGCCGACGCGTTCGTAACGCAACATCGGTTCGAAACGGCCTGCAGGGCGCCACGTCTGCATGGATACCTCCAGTCTCTCGGAAACCTTCGACGACAGTTGCCTTTCTGAAGCGATGGGGAAACCGAAATGAGTCTACCTCGGCATCCAGAGCATGTCCCAGATGCCAAAACGTTGCAAATCAACCTTATGACGGCTGAATGTGGGTGCGCGACGGACAGACGACGCTCGCACGGCGGACACGCGACAGACACCCGACCACATCGTCGTCGCTCCGTCGTCGCTCCGTCGCCGCATCGTTGTCGCGTCGGCGTCGCTTGTCCTGTCGTCGGCGCACCGCCGTCCTGTCGTCGTCGCATCGCCGTCCTGTCGTCATCCACCCGTCGTCGTGGCATCGTCTACCCGTCGCCACGGCCTTGTTCCTTTGTCGTCAGCTGCCACATTCAATTGCGTCAGTTTTTGCCTAGTGACTAACACATACATTCAGAACTTATACAACAAATCATCGTTCGGGGACAAACTTGCAGGCAAGATGCTAGCAGAAAACCTGAGCAGCCATTGACACTATGTAATGCCGACTTAGCATGAGACGATGCCGAGCAAGCTGAGCCCCGCACAAACTCGAACCGGATTTGCTCCAAGTCTGTGAACAGAGCCGAAAGATCGGCCGAACGCATAACAAGCACAAGGAGACTATGCATCTAGCGCTCGGCGTAACAACACGAAGTTGAAGAACAGCTGAGAGTCAAGGAGCTCAA